AATTTGAACAGAAGAAAGCGTAACTTACAAAAATAGAATTGTTCAAAAATATGACATCCAAACACTACAATGTAAATAAAATAAAGTGGCATTTAAAAACATTTTCTAGCATTCCTTATAAATCATGCAAATTAGAACCTGATTTGAATAAATTTTGTTTTGTGATGTTTTCCTTTACCGAACTTACAGTATTGCAAGTACTAAATTCCCCGGCAATTACCACTATAACATTGTATAGTTCCTATTAGTTATGTAAATTAGGTCTTCATATATATAACCAATATCTGTATCTGCATAGCCGGTATTACCGCCTTTCGGCGTAACACACCAGCTTCGCAGGCACGCGGCGCAGCGGCAGTTGGCTATATTACACCGATCGACTTGTTACGCCTAAGCCTTGAACTTCTAACTCTAGATATTGTTTAAATCTATCTAATGACAACGCCCTTACTGTACTTGGTGACAGCGAGTTCTACTCTGCCATAGTTCTAGGGAAGAATACATTCTTGAACACCTCAATATTCGATTGATAACTCTGGTACTTAAAGGCATGGTTATTTCTTGTTCTCTTCTGGGCTGGTATTAGGTACTTAGTAGTTGGGACGTCCACCAGTTTATTAGTCATTTTGTACATCTTGCATAGTCTGGACATTTTTCTTCTGTCTTCCAGTGAGGCCCACTGCAGGTTTCTTTTCATTTCCGTGACACTGGCACCTCTTTCATAGTTGTTCATACAGAATCTTGCAGCTTGATTCTGTACCCTGAATATGCTTAAGATCTTGTTTTTTAATTGTTGTCAATTACAAATGACACAAATGTTTAACAGTCCTAATATGGAACACAGCAGATGTATAGAATTTCTCCATTAGTTTTGCAAATTAGATCCTGTCCCAAAGAGTTTGACAATATTCTAGTTTCGGTTACTAGTGAATTCTTTCATCAGTGACAGCTTGGAAGGATAAGGATACTAACCTTCAAATTTTCGATGGCTATCAGTCCATCTTGTTCACGGA